ATTAATAGATAATAATCAGTTATTATCCAAACTAGCTGGCTACAAACCCATCTCTAGTCACACTACGTCCGATCCCAATCCGTTAAAATACGGTTCGAAGTAGTTGTAGAACTATTTTTACACTAGATCCAATTTCTCTAGTTAGTACTTCTTGCGCTGCTTCTTCTCAGCACTGGCCCATTTATTGTCCCGAAGCAGTGGTAGGGTTAATACTGGGACGTGTAAAAGCGCTTTTTAAAAGCCTGTATTCAGCAAATATATAATTTCGCGAGCCGCCAGTCTGCTTGTGACCACGGCTGCAGCATAACAGCCGAAACGTCAAGCCGTGAGTACATAATGTAACTCAGTCACAAATGTCGCGTTAATTTTATTTGAGCATTAATTTAGTTTTCCTAGATCCGTATTTCCGACGGATTCGGATCGGAAATAGTGCGAAAACATAGCCGGTAGACCAAGGGCTAAGCTAGTTTCTTAGATCGCAAAGCTGACACTGTTTCCCATAGTGTCGTGCAGTCTACAAAGAACTATAAAAAATGCGTAAGTTATGCGAGCTAATCCGAGGTTTGCGACGACACCAATATATGAAATGATGCCCAATGTGCGTTGTCGCTTAGGCTGGCAATAAAACTTGCAGAAGTTGACTTCCGCAAGCTGTTTACCACTGTGCAAATAGCTGTGGCAAGCCAACTTCTGCAAGGTTTACACAGTGGTGACAGCTTGCGGAAGTCAACTTCTGCAAGTTTTATTGCTAGTCAAACCTTGCTTTAGCTTAACTAACTTACGCCCGTATTCACAAACATTTCTATGAGATCTCACAGTACGCGTGGACGAACAGGGTAACACACGAACCCATCACAGCTCTATTCAACGCTGTGCATTCGATTTGCTGCTTCACTTAGCAAGCATCGTTAGTGAATACGGGCGTAAGTCTATACTCACTTTTAGCTTAGCTCTTGGTCTATAAACCGCAATAGGTTCAACTGTCGTGGTCCAGTTCATCCGAGGTAGCTGCATTGTACTGCTACCGGAGAGAGGGTAGAACTAAAAGTTCTTATGTACTGTAATTGAAATAGCGAATATATTGAACGTGTCAATATAAACCTACACACAATGAACATGAGTATTTATTTAACTATCCATTCCTTACACATAGCCCGACGGATTAGCAAGCTGAAGTAGCAATGGGCAGGGCACATAGTACGCAGAACTGACGGCCGATGGGGCAGCAAGGTTCTGGAGTGGAGGCCGCGTACCGGAAAACGCGGCGTGGGACGTCCACCCACAAGGTGGACCGACGACATCATAATAGCAGGAAGGCGCTGGATGCAGGCCGCTACCAACCGGGCAGCATGGAAAACATTGGGGGAGGCCTATGTTCAGCAGTGGACGTCCTATGGCTGAGACGATGATGATGATTCCTTACACATTGTTTAAAATCCAACTCATTCTTATAATCTTAGGCATTGGCCGAGTTGCACCATCTAAACTTTAACCGTTACTTTAACAATAACTGATGTATTTTGTTAATTTTGTATGAGTTTGACAGATTTTTTACGTTTGTCAAAATTAAAAAGCACCTTAATGAAAAAGGGCTACTATAAAGTTGATGATTATATAAAGGATAAAAATGTTTGGAATGTTTAACTACCTAGCTCGCATTAATACTTATGACTATAATTTGTATATTTTAAAGACTGTAAAACCTTGAAAAGGAGGCTGACAATAGTGACTGAGTTTCTTGCGCTGCTTCTTCTCAGCACTGGCCCATTTATTGTCCCGAAGCAGTGGTAGGGTTAATATTGGGACGTGTAAAAGCGCTTTTTTAAGCCTATTTGCAAAAATAAATGAATTTTATGAATTTTTAATTTTATCTGATTAAGATCGCTGGAAGAAACTGGATGCGGGCAACGCAGAATAGGTCGTTATGAAATCCTTGGGGGAAGCCTTTGTCCAACGGTGGACGTCATTTGGCAGAAACGATCGATCTTCTATCAGTAAATAAGTTCTTATTTGAATATTGTATTATATTTACTTGAATATCTTAATTAANATTTTAAAGTAAGATGGTTTACCCAGCTTTAGTTGCACCACCTAACTTTAACCGTAACTATAACTATGGACATTAAGCACCAGAAAGACGTTAACCGGTGTTTTTTTTATCAAGTTTTGCCAGATTTTTGACGTTTGTTAAAATTAAAGTAAGATGGTGCAACCCAGGCTTACACATTTTCTGTTTGGCCCAAAGGTTGACTGGAAGAGAATGCCATAAAATATGGTTGTTATAAAAAATCCGCCAGATGGCAATACGTAGACGCAAGGTCCAAATGCTGCATGATTAGTTATTTTTGACATGACATTGACAGATAATTATGTCTAAATTCACCAATCACGCAGCAGTCAGACCCCACATCCACGTCGTGCCATCTAGCGGATCTTTCATACGCGAAAACCCTCATTGATGGAAAAATAACACAAGCAGTACATAGTAATATTTTTTATTCAGATCACAAATTAATATAAATAAGTACACGAGGACTTAGCCCACGATATCAAGTTAAAATAATTTAATACTAAAAATAATTGACTATAAATTAACTAAGTTTTTTAATGGAAGAAATTAGTAGAACAAAAAACTGACAACTTTTTTATCACTAGCTGTGCCTGCAGCTTTTTTTAAACAATTTAAATAATTAATTAAACTTTTTATTAAAAAACAATAAACAGTAACCCTGATACAAAAACATTAAAAATTCGGACATTACATTAAAAATCTGAATTGTTACAAATAAGAAAATTATACGAGACTTTTACACAACAAAAAAGTTGAATTTTGCTTCAAACATATAAAAATGGACGGAAATAAATTGTAATATGTTCTGAAATATCAAAATAATGTCAAATATAGGTCTACCAGAATCTCATGGCAAACAAAAATATTGGAAAAGTGTGTTTTTCATATGGCAATTGTCTATGGTTTAATTGTCACCTGTCAAAGAAAATTATGAAATCTGTCAGCCGCTGCAAAAATGTTGTAATCTCTTCTTGACTATTTGTTATTTTTATGAAAAAGTCGAAAAAGCTCAAGCAAGTCATATTGTTTTGAATGTGAATTGCAAAATAAGGCATAATTCAAAGTCAATCTTTGATTCTAAAGCGCGTCGTCGAGTTGACAGTAAGTTGGACTGAAATGTTTTGATTCATTTAGTTTATTACCCAACTGCGTCAGAAGGAGGGTTATGTTTTTTATATTATTCTTATTTAATAGCTGCTTTATCGATGTTTTCAGGTATATCTCACAAATTAGTGCAGAGAAATGGTCAAAATGTTATGACCATGTAAAGAAAATTGAAAAAGATTTCATCAAGCAAGATTGAATAATGGAGAAGTTTCCAATTTTTTCTTTTAAATAAACTTGAAATAAATTTAAGTAAAACTAATAATAATTGTGAAAGAATCATGAAAATATATCTGCAAATAAATAAGTTACAGGGCCCTAAAGTTGCGCATAACTATTCACGCCATTTCGATCGGTGTATTAACGACAGTCCTTCGGAGTACAAACAGTAGGTAAATCACCCCTGATCCAGTGCTGTTGACAGATCCATATTTTTTTTAAATGTAGCAGTTTTTAATTTTTCAGCTAGGGTCACTCAAAATTCTTTCTTAGTAAAATTTTGTAACCTTTTTTAAAATATCCTTGACCTGGCCATTTATACAAAAAGAACGGCACTGCCTATTTCAATTCCACGCGAAAATATGTAGGTTATTTAAATAATTAATTTCCCAGACATTTCTTGATCGATTTAAAAAAAACTTCACCGTCTTTTTAGTTTTGGTGTATATTTAAATCCCATTCAGAGAAATATAGTGTTTTTAACATCAGGAAACTTCTTTACAATACCTCTTGATCTTGATCATCTATTGAAGAACAAGATGTGCGAGTGGAGTTCTTAGAATCGTTTTCTAGTTCTGAATGAAGTGATATTTAAGTTAAAAATACGATGCATAATAAAATTAGTTACCTACTTAAAGTAATATACGATTTATTTATTTTTCAATACATTTTCCTTTGTTAAAAACCCGATGTTTAACAACATTCTTCATACACATACCTACCTAAAATGTACTTATATTCGTACTTCATCATCATGTTCATTGATATTAAAGTCATAAGAGTAAAAAATTAAAAAGTATCAAGATTGTTTATTCCAATTTCCCAAGTATTGCTCTCAACAAAGTTTATTTTCCCTATTTGCCATGAGATTCTGGTACACCTATAGTACATAATAATTATAATACATTCTTAGAACCAAACCTACTATATTTAATTTTCTTTTATAACATTGAATGTGTTGGAAGGATATTAATTAATCCAGTTAATTGACTATTTTCTGCTTTTAAGTATATCCTACTGCTTTAGTTACCGTCGTATCTGAGTAATTTACTTTTTAAGTGCTACTAAAGTCCGGTCGCCGAGCAGATAGAATTTCGTACAATGACCCCAAGCTACCCATCCTTATCGCTCGCGCGTAATGAAGGCTATCGTTTTTATACTTTTGTACATTTTATATGTTTTAGCGGTCACCAGTTAGCGCCACTGTAGAGTAAGGTCCTGTCACTTGCTAGTAGCGAAGACAGTGGCGCCAACTGGTGAGCGCTAAAGTGGTAGGAGGACTATCGCATTTGCACTCATCAAGATGGCGCCACTGTAGAGTAAGGTCCTGTCAATCGCCAGGGGTGCCAACTGTTAAGTATAAAAACGATAGCCCTCATTGTAACAAAGACGTGTTGCGAACCGTTTGGCTACTTTGGGTGTCACGAATTATTTGACATATCATAATTTTAGATTCAAGTTAAGGTAGTAACCATTTGGCAGATCAACTGCCTCAAAGATAATGATTTCTCCCAATGTTGTTACTTTAGTACAACCCGGTCAAATTTACTGCGCACCTCGCCTCGAATCGCATTCGATATCGACTGTGTGAAAAAGTGACATTGTGTGACAGATTCTACAGCGCCCCTTCACCAGATCGTCGGTCCACCTAGTGGGAGGCCTGCCCACGCTGCGTCTTCCGGCTCGTGGTCGCCACTCAAGAACTTTCCTGCCCCAGCGGCCATCAGCTCTTCGAGCTATGTGCCCCGCCCACTGCCATTTGATTTTAGCGATTCTGCGGGCTATGTCAGTCACTCTGGTTCTCCTGCGGATCTCCTCGTTTCTGATTCGATCACGCAGGGAAACTCCGAGCATAGCACGCTCCGCCGCTCTTTGGGTGACCTTGAGCCTTCTTATGAGGCCCATTCTGGTGAAGTCTTTGTGGATATCCCTGGGGGAGGCTTTTGTCCTGCAGTGGACGTCTTTCGGCTGAAACGAACGAACGAACAGCGCCCCTAGCGGAAACTTTCAAGAACTAAAATCTTCATAAATATTTTTAACGCAGTCAATATCGAATGCTATTGACGTAAACTCACACTACGCCCACAGAGCGTCGATGTGACGTCACAGCCAGGTGCACAGTTAACTCGTAAATAAACACCACAAGACTACAAACTACACAATCTTCCCCGGGAACAGTTCCCGTAGGATTGTATCACAGTGCTCCCACGGGACCACTTTGGCCTTGACCTGGGGAGTCGGCGAGGATAGGGTCTTCTTAATGAGGTCGTCCAGGGGATAGCCGCGGCGGGGGAACACCACGGCCTGTGAACAAAAATCTGAATTAATACATTTATTTTCTTTTTATTATGGATGGAAAACGGTGGACTTCTTCTTCTTCTTCGGTCCCTCACTGATGAGGATCGCGACCGCAGATAGTGTTCCTCCACAGACTGCGGTCATAAGCTGTGTGGACCGCACGATGCAAACTTCCGCCCACCGTCTTCCTCACCGCGTCCGACCATCTCGTCGGTGCCCTGCCCCGAGCGCGTCTGCCTTCCATTTGTTCCAAGATAATTTGTTTCTCCAGACAGACTGACAGCTGGGTAGCTAGGGTCATTGAACGAAATTCTATCTGCTCGGCGACCGGACTTTAATTCAACAGAACGTAATAATAGACTTATCGCGAAAGGAAATATAAATGACTGTATTATGTGAACTCACGTGTGGAGGTAGATTCGTCGACGGACAGTAGTCGTTTCTGCCATCGCCGCTATACATGACTCTAGCATACGGCGGCCGACCGCTGCAGAACTGTGCTAGCGCCAGAGACTTGCACAGGTTGGACGGACAGCGAGCACAGGCCGTCTGGCGCATTGTCTAAAGTCCGGTCGCCGAGCAGATAGAATCCCGTACAATGACCCCGCCGAACTAGCCATCCTTATCGCTCGAGCGTCATTATATTGCCGTCGCGCTCGCACACTCACTGCGGCCGCCCGTCGCACAGTCGCGACAGCTGGGTAGCTTGGGGTCATTGTACGAAATTCTATCTGCTCGCGACCGGACTTTAATTCAATAGTGCTTGTTAATAGACTTATCGCGCAAGCAAATACAAATGATTGTATTATATTTAACTTACATGAGGAGGTAGATTCGTCGACGGACAGTAGTCGTTTCTGCCATCGCCACTATACATGACTCGTGCATACGGCGGCCGACCGCTGCAAAACTGTGCTAGCGCCAGAGACTTGCACAGGTTGGACGGACAGCGAGCACAGGCCGTCTGGCGCATGCACGGCTCGATGTACAGACGACCGGCCTGCCAGAACGCGCGGTTGGTGATCACTGATGTCACGGCGTCCTGGAAAGATGGTGGAGAATATTGAAATATACTTACTTAATTTTGTAACTTTTGAAAAATAATATAATCACTAAACGGACTGCATTTAAAAACGCTTTAGGCAAGTCCTAGGTACAGTTAGAACGTATAATTTTGAAAACTTCACAATTTATTGTCTTGTTCATAAAAAATACCTATACTGGAAAAGGACAGCTTTTATTCTAGGTTTATCAACATCGCAACCGCGTAAAATGGTTGGTAGGGAGATCCTTTGATTTTATGTAGGTATAGTTTTATACCCAAGCCAAGTTAGCAACACTGAAACCCTGCGCTGCTGGAGAAATTGCTATAATTTTGGCTGTTTTTTTTTTTAAAAAAAAAAAAAACTTGAGAACAGTTTTTTCAGACATTATTAAATTTTGTGTAATAGTACCTATAGGTAAGTAAGCCTACTTTTGTAAAACTAACCAGCTTAATCACAGCTTACTACAGATTTCATCACTATTTAGATAGATTATGATTTACGTGAAATCACTTCTACACCCATGACGTCACGCCCAATGACGTCAGGCATCACGAGCCATCACGTGTAGACAATGTAAGTAATTAGAGTACGGTCGGCAAACACGAGAAGGACCATCCAATTTGTGTGTTTACGATACTTTTGCTAACTCTACAATCTACATGGCGGCGTCCTTATAAGGTCACCGATGGGATACCTACTCACTGGTACCTACATAAAATCAAATTTTATAAATATGTAGCGCTATGGCACGGGAGGGGTTTTGTCGGCGTGATAAATATACATACCTCTACAAAATTACAGGTCCCTTGTGCCAATACTTTCCAAGCAAAACCTCGGACAGACAGACAGACAGACATATCGAAACTATAAGGGTTATTTGTCAGGACGACGGAACCCTAAAAATGGGGATGACTGTGATTGAGTGACTATTGCATGAGTGTCCTAATGTCCTATCAGAGATATGAAGCCAGAACCTTCATTGTTATCGTTCGTTCGTTCGTTTCAGCCTAATGACGTCCACCTGGACAAAGGCCTCCCCCAAGGCTTTCCATAATGAACGGTCCTGCGCTGCCCGCATCCAGGTTCTTCCCGCGACCTTTACCAGATCGTCGGTCGACCTGAGGCCTGCCCTTACGTCTTCCGGCCCGTGGTCGCCACTCGAGAACTTTTCTACCCCAACGGTCATCGTCTCTACGAGCTATGTGCCCCGCCCACATATCATTGTTATAGGCTACTTTAATAGATTAATCCTTTATAAACGGTTAAGTTAATTAATGTTGCGGGAAGCCATAGAAAGACTTAATAGTAACCTACGTTCATTACGAAATTATTGTTTCCACCTAAAATCGTTCACTGCTGGATATAACAGCCTCTGTGGTCTATTGGTTAGACCACCTGCTTCAGACGCAGAGGTCCCAGGTTCGATTCCCAGTGGAGGCAGAATTTTCTGTTCGGTTTGGTTGGTGGTAGGGCTTGTCCGCCTGGCTAGCTACCACCATCTTACCTAAGTATGTCGCCATAACAACAATGTTAACAGCATTGTTGTGTTCCGGCAGTTAGAGGTAAGATAGCCAGTTCCTCTGTGGTTGAGGATTCCGGGTGAAGCTCGCTTCCACCATCAGGTGAGATACAGGCCAAAAGATTCCTCGTTGTGGATTAAAAAAAAATAGGCTTCCCCCAAGGATTATCAACCATAATTTTTTAGCATGACACACGGCCTCTTTTACGCAGTCGGGTAAAAAACAATGCCACGTGCCCGGGGGATGTTATACAATAAACCCACGGGGAATCACCATTGTTCTCGAACAATCATCATTCAATAGTGACCGATGATTGTGAGAATGTGACACGCTCGCAGAGCAACAAAAACATTATAATGGCGGAAATGTCAATATTTTTATTGGAAACTGGACAACTTACAATTCTTTCCACGGAAATCGACTCCTTTCAATCAGTTTTATAATGGCACAAGTACACTATTAGTGTGAACACCATCTCGGTTACTTTTTCCTTCCCCCAAACGTGCGTCGCCCATACTTCGGTGTGCGGGCTAGCGCTTCAACTTGGTCAATTTTCCGCATAAAGTATTTGCGCTATAATACCCATTCTTATTGGTAGATAAATAGTACCACATTCTTCCCTAGAAACGGGACTATTCCCACCTCTCGTTCCCACCGCTGAAACTCCTGTGTAGCCAGGATCTACAGCTTGACCGCCAATAACCAACCAGTGAAGGTCAAGTTTGTCCCGGGGGTAAGTTCAAGTTTGTCCCGGGGGTAAGTTAAACTGTCATTGGACTTGCACATAGGGGGAGTTCGAAGTTAAGTACTTATTATTATTCTGTGGTTAAGGTTCTTCCCTAGAAAGTTGACTAAGGGACAAAATATGCGAACATCGGGCCTCCCCAACCTGTCTGGCCAGCGTGAGGTGTGTAGACAAAACCCTCCATTTGCCTGAGGTGAATTAGAGAAGGTCGGGCTTCTGCTTTAGGATCTAAATTAGGGATGTTATGGATATTTAGTTTCGGTTATGGATATGGTTACGGATATAGTAATCATATTATACCGGTTTCGGTTACGGTTACGGATATTTTTTTATTTCGGATATCCGAAAGTTTCGGTTACGGTTACGGATATCTGTGCTTTAGGATGCAATTTGCAATAGTTGTCCAACACGGTTCATTCATGGCCACACACATTAAATAAAAAATAAAATTGATGCTAGATGGCATTAAAGTAAATCAGGTTGTAATGCCGAAACTGTCCGAAACTTTTAAATCGATTACGGTTACGGTTTCGGATATTTTTTTATTTCGGATATCCGAAAGTTTCGGTTACGGTTACGGATATCCATAACATCCCTGGTCTAAATGACCTGATAATGATGACAAGTTTTATCCTTATTCCACTCCCAAAATAACTTTCTGTATCAGATTATCGCTGGTTTTCCTCATACCTAAAATAGCAAGCTGAAGTGGCAATGGGCAGGGCACATAGTACCTACATACGCAGAACTGACGGCCGATGGGGCAGCAAGGTTCTGGAGTGGAGGCCGCGTACCAGAAAACGCAGCGTGGGACGTCCACCCACAAGGTGGACCGACATCGTAAAGGTAGCAGGAAGGCGCTGGACGCAGGCCGCTACTAAGCGAGCAACATGGAAATCATTAGGGGAGGCCTATGTTCAGCAGTGGACGTCCTATGGCCGAGATGATGATGATGAAAATATCAATGCTATTATAGCAATTAGGAAGGCAATTGGCAATAAATATTTCACGCTATATTGGCATAGTTCTTAATACGTGTGATTGTTTTATAAATACAACAATGGGAGCTATTCTGGTTCCAATTGATATACAATCGACTGCACATTAAACTGAACAATTTCATTGGAAAATCGCTTCTATTCCAACTACATAGAACACCACAATATTTAGCTTTCTGTGCCGTCCGTAATATTTAAATTAATTTAACTAATTTTGGCACGAGCTGCTTGAGACAGTTTCTTGGCAGTAGTTAGTTTTTATCTATTATTTTAAACAAAGAAACGGAATCGTGGTTTCTATATTTTATTTTATTCATTGATTTTTATTTCCACAAGGACCGACGACCTTATAAAGGTGCCGTAGCAGGATGACGCTGGATGCAGGCCTCTACCAACCGGGCGATGTGGAAATCATTGGGAGAGACCACCTTACCTAAGTCTGTCGCCATAACATAACAACAATGCTAACAGCGTTTTTGTGTTCCGACATTTGGACTTATGATAGCCAGTTCCTCTGTTGTTGAGGATTCCGCATAAACTCGCTTCCACCCTAGGCCTGATCATGTCTTTGGACCAGGTGAGATGCATACCTACCTACTAAAATAAACTTTAATCCGGGCTTCTTCAAGGCATGAATAGGTATCTCATGATCAATAAATATAAGGTGTGATTGCCGTAAAATGCCTGCCTTCTTCTGCCTAAGAAAAACATTTCTTGGGATAAACATTGGCGCATCTCACCTCCAAGCCATGCACCTTCAGCCAATGCTTCACAAACACACTGTTCGCGTCTGTCACCAGCAGAATGTCCCAGCCCTCAGCAGCCAGGGTCGACAGTAACCTCTCCATCCCAGGAGTGGGCTGCATGGAGCCGATAGAGTCCAGGATGTCGTCTTGGTGCAACCCTGCTGAGTAGGCGTGCTCGAATACCTGGAAATTAATTGTGGTTAAGTATTGGGAAGCTGAAGTCCAACAACCAACCGTAAAGCAACCAATTTACGTTGACTTCCCTAACGGGACTATTGACTTTAGACACCTCTCGTTCCCACCGCTGCAACTCCTGTGTAGCCAGGATCTACAGCTTGACCGCCAATAACCCAACCAGTGAAGGTCAAGTTTGTCCTGGGGAAAGTTAAACTGTCATTGGACCCGCAACGAAATTAATCAGAAGAACATAGGAGGGGTTCGAAGTTAAGGTTCGACTTCCCTCCATTGCAAAGCGGATGACAGATTGACTTCCCTAGTAACTTAATAGTAGTAGCTTATGAGCAAAAGAAGTATCCATCTCGGGCGACACATCATGCACCCGGATGAGATAGCAGATATCACGCTCCAAAGAATCTGGAAATTTATAGACTCAACGGGACTAAGCAGTGAACTCTAAAGACAAGGGCTGCCACAATAGATCAAACTTGGTCGAGCTGGCGCAAATGAAGGCCCAAAAAATTAATAATAAAAATAATAATAGTAATCTGTGCCCAATGCCCATAAAGTCGAACGGTGAAGGGGTCGGACTGGTCGACTCATCATCTGAGGAACGCGGGTTCGAACCCCGACGCTTGGCTATTGTGGTGAGTCCACTTGTGACACAAGCATAATGCTTACTAGGAGGGGATAACGGGATTATTGGTAACTAGTTTTCTGCCCGCGGCCTTGCCCGCTTGAAATTTTGTCTGTCACAGAAAAACTTTATCGCGCGCGTCCCTGTTTCAAAAACCGGGATAAAAACTATCCTATGTCCTTTCCCGGGACTCAAACTATCTCTATGCCAAATTTCATCAAAATCGGTTCAGTGGTTTAGGCGTGAAAGCGAGACAGACAGACAGACAGAGTTACTTTCACATTTATAATATTAGTATAGATACTACTTTCAATGAAAATTGTGCGTTTCTTTCGCCCTTCAAGTTATTTTAAGTAACTTGTGTATTTGACCACAGTTCAATTTAGATTGCGTTTTCAGGAAGCGATAATAAACTATTTTTGGACGAACTATTTCTACTCGAAGGCCGAGTTCGCACGTCATTCATATTGAGATTATAATTATTACATTCGCTTTTGCTTTCTTTTAACCTTAATAAGGACGTGGGAATACATTTCCCACTATATTTTTAATCTTACATCGTTGCTATAAGGTTAATCTTAATAAGAAAGTGGGAATATTGTTTCCACTACATTTTTAACCTTATATAATTTTTTAAGGTCCAAATAACTTAAACATGGTAAACTTGCTATGTTCGTGTAATGGTTAACATGGTTAGTCCTCTACTGCTAAGTTAAATCGTTTTAACGGAGGTTTTGTGTAGGTAAGAAATGGACAACGTCAAGAAAACAAATCTTGTGAAAAGTAGAATGCGATTTGCAACAAAAATTAATAGCATCAGGCCTGCCAAAACTATTTTTTTTAAAACCTATTGCTAATACTAAACAATAGGTTCTAAAAAACTAATTTTCAGATATCAATCAGTCAACAATATGAAAATCATTGGGGGAAACCTATGTTCAGCAGTGGACGTCGTACTATGGCTGAAAGAAATGATGATGAGGTAGCGCATTTTTAGGTAGGTCATCATCATCATCGGCATCATCTCAGCCATAAGACGTCCACTGCTGGACAAAGGCCTCCCCCAAGGATTTCCACAAAGACCGGTCCTGCGCCGCCTGCCTTGGTAGGTAGGTACATATAATTATTTATTGAGTGCTTTATCGCTACAAATTCACATTTCTAGTTCACAGTTCACATAATGTTGCCTATTTACGTAGCATAGCGGCATTCTCCATCAGATATGTTAATGGAGTCCTGAAGTGTTCACGAGAGCCCGTGACACGCGAATGGGATGTGGCACAAATTGGTAGCGAAAGAACTTTCTTTCTTCTTTGTATTTAAAAATGTTACTAACAAATTAAATCATTTATTCAGTACTTAGGCCGTTTCCAGGGCCTGCAGGTAACGGCCTGCATCCAGCGCCTTCCTGCTACCTTTATGGGTCATCGGTCCACCTTGTGGGGTAAATATAAATAGCTTGAATAATTTCCAAAGCTAGGTATCGTAGATCGTAAATCGTGTTGAATTCCGTAAGTGGTGTTATCTCGAAAACACGAACCGATTTGCGAAAAATTGGATTATCAGGAATATTGCGTAAAGGCAGTCGTAAAAGGTAAACGTATGTGCCATTTCAGTGAAATATCGTGACTGTGAACTTGAATACACGTAATTGAATTCGATGGATGGCTCATTTCAGGAAAACTTTAACTTACTTCTAAAAGTTCCAAATATCACACATGCGAAAGCAATATCTGTCTGTTACTTTTTCTCCAATTCTTCATTTTGAGACCCAACAAAAAACGTAGGATAGTTTTTATCCTAAGTTTTAAAAGGGACACACGATAAAATATTTAATATTTATATGACAGTCCGACAAGCCGCGGGCAACGGTTTTTTGATAAATGTTTCAGTCTGAGACTGAAAGTTTAAAAATGTTCGTTTAAAAGTGATTAAAATCGCTACATCTTATAACTAGCGCGTGCTTAAGTCAATGCCAAGCTCGCGGCCTCGACCGCTGGGGTCGAGCCAAGCTTCAGTTTCGCCTATTCGGCCATTCCTATTTTCACAATTTGGTGGAATAAAGACACGAGTGGGGTTACGTAATATACTTACATAAGGTTAACTTTAGTTAAACTAACTTTTACCGGCAGCTTCGCCCGCGTTTCGGTCGGTCAAAAATGTATTTATCCATCCATATTCTGTTTAAAGCCTAGATAATAAAACTCATAACACTCATTTACTTTTGAAAGTAGGTTTTTAATAAAAGGCACTTTTACACGTCCCAGTATTAATCCTACCACTTTAACTAAATTAATGTAGAGTTCTAATGGTGAAAGAGTTTTTCTAACCGGTCCAATACTTTCGTAGCCTATTCAATACAAACAAAAAAAAACAAATCTTTCCTCTAATAATATTAGTGTAGATTTCATTGTCAGGAGAAGTAGACACTATGAATCATCTAAATAACAATAATAAAATTAGCTGTCCACTAAAATTGTCGGTAAACTGAATTACAAAGCTAGTGGGCGCAAATTGTATCCCATACGGCACTAATATTTGCCTGTTAAACACAAGAAATTGTACTTAAGTATTTTTTATTCAAGTTTATCGGTTATCTATCTAGTTGATATTACACACAAGGTATGCCATGGAAAAACAGAAATAGTCATACTTTCTGTGAAGGTCGCGGGTAACACCTGGATGAGAGCCAAGCGCAAGACCGTTTGTTACGGTAATGCTTAGGAAAAGCCTTTGTCCAGCAGTGGACGTCATTTGACTGAAATGAACACTCCCTTTCGGGGATATAAAAATTACTTTCTCATCTATCATCATCGTCATCGTTTCAGCCATAGGACGTCCACTGCTAAACATAGGCCTCCCCCAATGACTTCCACATCGCACGCACGGTTGGTAGCAGCCTGCATCCAGCGTCTTCCTGCTACCTTTATCAGCTTTCTCATCTATACAATACTAATATTATAAAGCTGTTGTTCGGACGCGCTAATCTAAGGAAGTACTGGTAAATACTTATTTGAAAAAGTATTTTGTGTTGGATAGCCCATTTATCGAGGAAGGCTTTAGGCTACATAACATCACCCTACAGGGAATAAAGTTCTCGAGTGGCGACCACGGGCTGGAAGACGTAGCGTGGGCAGGCCTCCTACTAGGTGGACCTACGATCTGGTAAAGGTCGCGGGAAGAACCTGGATGCGGGCAGCGCAGGACCGTTCATTGTGGAAAACCTTGGGGGAGGCCTTTGTCCAGCAGTGGACGTCATTTGGCTGAAACGAACGAACAGGCAATAGGGGTGGAGCAGTAAAGAAAAATGTTGCAAAAATGGGAAATATTATTTAAACTATTCTCACGCGGGCTAAGCTACGGGCAAAAGCTAGTATTATCGTAAATCTAGTCACATGGCTAAGAGCATGTCTCAGGTATGAGTTTACTCAAATAGCAGTTATGCTTATTTGTATTATCAATATTTCCTTAGGTTATAAAGCTTATTTACTCACTATTTTTATTTTATTTTATTTTTCTTTATTCAGAAAACCACAGCTCTTTATAATAATAATACAAACAGGTATTTTTGTTCTATGCTACCTACATACTGCCCACAGCTTAGCACAGCAAATACAAACATTGGCACCACTATTATCTGTAATGGTTATCACTGATAAGGATTTGTAATTGTAAGTTCTGGTTTTATCACTTCCTAATGGAATCTGTGTATTATGTACCTATTCTTTAATTAAATGATGTGCCTTTTAACCCTTTTTACAGAAGTGGGAATATAGTTTCCACCATATTTTGAAGGTCCAAATGGGGGGTCTAAGTCTATGTCAGGCTTGCTACACTGATGATGATGTGATTCACATCTAAATTGCTAAACAGATTTTGATTAATTTTTGTATAATGACACATAGGTCCTGGGATACATAGAAATAAGTCAACAAGTTTTTGAAACAATAGTTTATTCATTTCTCTTTTACTATAAATTTCACCAATTAATTATTTCAAATGAGCAATGTGTACTTCTAGAGATTCATGTGAATTAAGATTTTTAGCATAACATTAAAATTTTACCATTTTTTTCATGTAAGTTACCAAAAAATTTAGCACAAGTACCTACCTACATAATAAATTTAAAATATCTACAAGTTTATGGTCTGCGATTTAGTGCCTTTACCTGTGTATTATAACAACTTACAAGACAAGTGATGTACCCAACTACTAAACAAATCTTCAAGCACCCAAAAAAATAAAAAATATTATTAGTTATTCTAAATGGACTCTGACTAATTATACCCAGGATTTCGTGTCAAATAATCAGGCATTTATTCCATATCAAGCTCTCATACCTCTGCATGCAATAAGCAACCGATAAGTTGAACTATAAGCTCCACGAAAAAAGTAAAGGGGTCATTCCATAAAAATCTGTATATTTTCGACGTCATTTTGTCCGTAAGTTTTTTAAGATGCTTTTGAATACTTTATTAGTGTAAATTATTGTTTATTAATTAATTATGTTATGTCTAAAAGGGCCAGTCACTTTATGCTTTATTTTAGGAGAAATTATAATTTTCAATTTTTTCATACTACATTACTCCTATATGACTTCTAATAAAGTATAAAACTTATAACCTTAACATTTATAGATAAGTTAATACACATAATGTAGTTGTTTTGTTATTATCACTATATAAAAAACATCATTTCTTAACTAGTAATTTAGTCCCAAGTGCCGTTTAAAGCTAGGGCCTGACGCTCTAGGGACTGACGATTTGGAGTAAAACTTAACACAAATGCAGATTAACTTTATATTATAAGATCCTTAATACTATGCGCCGAAAATAGCCAAAAAACCACACGTAAATACTATTAAATTTTATACAATTTCCTATTATAATCAATAAAGCTACTCAACTAGGGACTGACGAAGTGACTGGATTAACACATGTTTCCGCAACAACTGGCACGTTTGCACTTATTCAAAAAACGGCTACCGCAAGTCCAGTATGGTCTGAGGATAACTTCGTATCGTACTTTAAACTCAACTAAATGTCATTCACTCTAAATACATATTAAAGCGCAAAATTATAAAATCAGTGCGTGGCGAGGGAATGACGCTAAAAACTGTAGACTCTTTTTTAACTAAAGAAAATCAAATTATTGTTTATTGAAACCGCAAAATATTAATAGAATTTGGTGTAATATACATTTAAATAGATTATTCGTTAATTAAAACGAAGGATAAAGTTGATGTTTTTATAAATGTGGGTCCCAAAACACAAACTTTTGGAGTACGGACATGCCTAGGGAATGACGTTTTGGGTCATTCAAAAGGAATTTAAAATGTTTTAAAAATAGTTTCAAAAAATATAAATGGGTGATGAATAAAGCACATTGCGAGCTGTTATTTAACAATTTTGGAATAAAATATTAACAAATATTTCATGTGAAATGTGGCGCGGACTAAGAGTTGACATATTTTTGTGGAATGACCCAAAGAAATAATTCTGACTTACATCGCTCATATAAGGCGTCCAGTCATGGTTTCCAGATTCCCACTCCGGAGGCGGCTTCCGTTCCCGCAATCTACTTATTATGGTGGCATCAGAATCCGCATCCACGATCGTACGGTCAAAATCAAACACGGCTAGCGAAGCCATCGCGATCGTTCAAACTACGCGCGAACTCCTCACCAAGCGACGACTGGCGCAAGACTGACCAATATTTAAAATTTTAAAGTTTTCAACCGGACGCAGCCAAAGATCACATTCTACCTCGTGCCTGGTGCGTGGGTGCTTGACGTAAAATATCTAAGTAATGCATAGCGGAGTTTTTTGCATGTTTTTTCTGGGAAACTGGCGAATTTTCAGCACCCACTTCTGTCAGCTGATTTGACAATGACAAAGATGACATTGACCTGAATGACCTGCCATTTTCACGGACATGTTTCGGATACACGTCAAAAGTTGGTGGCTACGTTATTTTACCGGTATTTTAGTATTTGTTACTTTTGCGGTGAAATTAAATCAGGCAATCGCCTTTTAATGATAGAATGGAAAATACATTTTTCTAAAACGTACTGAGGAAAAACGTATGAAAATTGTGGTGGTATCGTTCTTTTGTCGTAATCGTTTTTGACATCCTAAACGTCTTAGTGTCTATCATTATTTTTGTTTGGTCGTTCGTTTCGGCCAAATGACGGCCATAGCATGGCTGGATAAAGGCCTCCCCGAGGGTTTCCTCAGCGTTCGGTCCTATGCTGTACTGCTGCCTGCATCGAGGTCCAGGTTCTTCCCACGACCTTCATCAGATCGTCGGTCTACCTAATGGGGGGCCTGCCCCCACACTATGTCCAGGGTGAAGAAACTTCCATACAACGGTCATCGAAGTGAAACTTGCTTCCAAACAGCGACATCGGTGAATAAATTCAAATACTTTTTAACTACCCTAAAACACTCTAGATGTCGCTGCTCCTGTTTCCTTCATATTTTCATTTTTTTCTTAATTAAAATATATTTGAGAATATTGTTAATTACAATGTGAAAACTTTTTTTAAATGAAATTAATTTGTTTTAATTTAAAACTGGACATTGACATTTTTGTTATAATTTACATAATAGAGTAGTAGAAATTACTATTTAACATATGGCAACTTTGTTTTTCCTCCAAAATGGCCGGTGTTGTTTTTGTTAGGTTGAATTGAATGCATTATTGTTTTCTTAGCCATCGTTTATGAGTTCTGTGGCCCTATTAAAGTATTGAAGAGTCGAGTCAAATTCAAGTTCATTCCTTCGTACCTGCTGCTGTTCTGGTTCATCGGAGTTTTGTTCGTTCCTTCGTGAATCGCGAAGAAACTTTCTGTTATGTTCACAAGTGATCTGAGTCATAGAGAAAAGTAATACATAGGAAATAGAGAACCCTCTCTGTCAAATTTTTGAGCCTACTAATTGACAGCCTGGTGTTAAATTCGCTGTACTTAACCTACGTACGTAACGCTCACATACACACATAGTACACGCACACATACATACATAAAGTCCACGCACACATACACACAGTTCACGCACACATAGGCCCTCATAACCTTCAAAGAATTATTGTTTTTGACTGTTTAAGGCTTTAGAGTATGCTCTCCTTATGAAATTAAACAAAACTGTAAATTTTGTGACTCTAAAAGTGCTTTGCAGGCATTACATAAATTTCCATTTAAGAACAATACTAATTATCCTATTATTACAGAATGCAGGAAATTACTTCACAAATGTAGTCTTAACAGTCATTTAATTAATTTTGCGTGGATTCCTAGTCATACCAATATTCCAGGAAATGATAAAGCTGATAAGCTGGCCAATGAAGCGGTTGAGTGTGGAGATATACATCCGTACACAAATTATTGCCATGACTTAACGGCAGCCCTTCCCAAAGCTTATCTCAAATCTGCCTGGGATGAGAATTGGGAGTTCACTAGCCAATCTAAGGGGAAACATTACAAGCTCATTCAACCATCCATCCTTTGTAAACCATGGTTTGTTAAAATGAATCTTTCCAAAACAGTTACTACCATTTTAACTAGAATGCGACTTGGTCACGTGTGCACTCCAGCACACTTGGCTAAAATTCATGTACTTGATAATGATTCGTGCATTTGTGGTTCTGGCGTCGGAGACTTAAATCACATATTTTTTTACTGTTGCCTATATGATCGTTCCTCTTTTATTAGTTCTCTTTTAGCCATTAAAATTCCTTTTCCTACATCCATCACTTGCCTATTATATACCAATAACATTGATGTTTATAATATCCTAGCCGAATTTATTACCCATAATAATATAAAATTGTAAATAGTAATGTATATTGTACTTATGTAAATATTATTTTATTTTTATTATTTTGTAATTATATCACACCTAAATTGATCCTATGAAAACCATCCTTTGTTCCGTTTCTATCCGTAATTGATTCGTTTCCCTACCTTTTAACTTTAACCCAATCCCACCCTGTCTAAACGCAATGTCCGCAAAACTTATGGCAAAACTGAACGCAAAAATATCTCTCTAATCTGTGGTCGTGGCTAAACGCAATCCGCGAGAGCCATAAAGAAAAAAAAAAGTATTGGAATTTATCGACTGAAGTCGCTGTTTGGAAGCAAGTTTGATCGTAGTATGGAAGTTTCCGTACCCTGATCTGAGTTTTCTCAATGTGCTGTGTTCTGTGTTTAGTGTTGAAAACTTTGCGAAAAGACGCTTTTGGTGTATAATATTATGTGTGTTCATAAATAAAGTAAAATTATTAAATTCTAAAGTTTTTGTTTACTTATTTGCATTTCCATGTGCAATGTAGAATTTTTCCAAATACATTGTTTTGAAAATACGTACACCATAAAGATAAATATTTTCAACATAATGGATTTGAAAAAATTCTACATTGTACATCATAAAAACAATAATTCTTTGAAGGTTATGAGGGCCTATGTGTGCGTGAACTGTGTGTATGTGTGCGTGGACTTTATGTATGTATGTATGTGTGCTTGTACTATGTATGTATGTGAGTGTTACGTACGTAGGTTAAGTACATGGAATTTAACACCAGGCCATCAATTAGTAGGCTCAAAAATTTGACAGAGAGGGTTCTCTATTTCCTATGTATTACTTTTCTCTATGTTTTATGTCTTACGGCCCATTAAATAAAAATAAATAAACCGTTAATCTAAAAGTAACGGGTTTTGCGTATGTTATTTATCACGTGTATCCGATTTTTCTCTTCTCTGCCTCCCTTTGTAAAAAAAAAGTAAAACGACAGATAAGAAATTCTGACATAACCTCTCAAATCAATTTTTACCCAAAAATTTCCAAAAAACAATCGTATTTGTGACAAAAATGGCATCTTTGAAAGTTTATTCGTTAGGGAGACTCGCAAGATACGTTACCGAATCCACCGTGAAGACGATGAGAGGCAGTATTTACAGGTAGAAATTGCGCAACCTATATCTCACAAATAACCTAGAAACATAAATTTTAAAGCTATTTTTCCATAATTTTGATGCGATTTAGGTCTGATTATGCACTTTCTTCGACTAGAAATAACAGATTATTGTGTTTTTACCTTTTGAGATGATTAATACAACATATAAATTTACTTGGGTATATTTAGTTAATTTTCAAAAATCACTGCAATAGATAGCACAGACAAGTATTAAACGTTTAAGCAGTAATGCTTAATTCATATTCTAAGCTGCACCTTATAAATGCCTTCTAGCATGGCTATAAAACTGAAAAAAAGGCATAACAATGACCTCTGTACTTTTGAACCTTTTTCAGAGGAATCTTGAATATCTTGGAAATATCTTCGTTAAAGTTACTTAAATTCACATTAATTACAGTTTTAGTGCATTTTGTATTGTTATATTCTATACATAACATCTTCCAAGCAAGATGATGCAATATTGTTGAGTAATTATTCTCATAATTTTTGTAGCTGAAACAATATGCAGTATTTCAGAGACCTTATGTACTATCGGCAACAGTGTTCACTACCCATTGCCGGTCATGTCGTCTCGTTCTATCACAAAGAATCACCATTTGATGAGAGCAAAATAGAAATGGAAAGTTAACACTGTGGCCGATAGTATGTACAGCATATTTTTGTAGAACCCATTTCAACCAACGTATCTAATGTAAGATACTACAGTGTTCAGCTTGGGGTCTCATTGTCTATGAAATTACATTCCACATGAGCACACTGCAATTTGAACTACTTTGATTGAGAAATATTTGGCCTTAAGTTGACATAATATTTTTTGTATTCTTACATACATATTTGTAACTAGCGGCCGCCCGCGACTTCGTACGCGTGAATCTCGTTTTACCCCCCCTTCATCTATCTTACGCGGTTCAGATTTTTTCATACAATTTTTTTTCCCGCTAACTCCCGTTCCCGTGGGAATTTTGCAATATCCTGTTGTAACTAAGCTTTAAGTTTACTAAGGTACCTGCATGCCTTTCAAGCGTCTAACTTAAGCGGTTTAGATTTTTCATACAAAAGGATTTTCCCGCTAATTCCCGTTCCCGTGGGAATTCCTAAGTATCCTATAACCTGCCCAGGAGTGTGAAGAATAATTGTACCAAGTTTCGTTAAAATCCGTCGAGTAGTTTTTGTTTCTATAAGGAACATACAGACAGACAGACAGACAGACAGACAAAAATTTTACTGATTGCATTTTTGGCATCAGTATCGATCACTAATCACCCCTGATAGTTATTTTGAAAATATATTTCATGTACAGAATTGACCTCTCTACAGATTTATTATAAGTATAGATGAAAAAATGTGTACCTACTTTGTATTAGGATCCAAATCTAACAAATAGACTAAATATTTTCAATAAACACTATAGAAAATAAAATTTAAGAACTAAAATTCAAAATGTTTCCTGTATGTAGGCTTTTAAAGAGCACTTACATATCCCACTTCTCAGCACCAGCCCATATGTTGTCCCGAAGTGGTGGTAGAGCAAGCTATATTTGGGACGTGTGTAAGTCCTGGAAAGGGCCTATGTACTGAATACTATTTCATTTCCTACCAAATAGTTTTAATTTTTGTCTATTTTTAATTTGCAGAACCACAGCCCTCTCGTACAGCACAGAAGAGAAGACAGCAGAGAATGATTCCAGCGACAAGCTGCCGGGCACGGTGGAGGAGTGCCACAAGCAGATCGAGGCGCTCACCGCTGACGTGGCTTCGTTGAAGGACCAAGTCAAAGACCTTGAGGTATAGCAGAACTTGCTAAAGTTATTTAACATTTAACTGGTGATATAGTTTTTGTCGCCACTCGAGAACTTTTCTGCCCCAACGGCCATCGTCTCTACGAGCTATGTGCCCCGCCCACTGCCACTTGATTTTAGCAATTCTGCGAGCTATGTCGGTTACTTTGGTTCTCCTGCGGCGAGTGGCGACCACGGGCTGGAAGACGTAGCGTGGGCAGGCCTCGTGGCCCGACGATCTGGTAAAGGTCGCGGGAAGAGCCTTGATGCGGGCAGCGCAGGACCGTGTATTGTCGAAAACCTTGGAGGAGGCCTTTATCCAGCATTGGACGTCATTTGGCTGAAACGAACGAACGAACGAAGATGGTTTTTGTGTAACGTAACTGACGCCGCTCAGCCTGTGAGACCGTTTGTCACCAGTTAAAGGTTAATTATGAAAAGATTACAAAAAGACATTTATTAGTTCTTGTTTTTAGATCTACATGTTCTATCTTTTTTTTTAAACCAAAAATAAAAATTTGCTACTTATTTCAAATATCTAGCTTTTAGCCAAGGCTTTGCTTGTTTAAATTTCGCTCTGTCACAGAAAGATAATATAGGTGGTTTATTCGTCCAAGTAATATAGCCATTGAATTTTAAAATCCTCCATTTGCCTCTGGTAAATTAGAGAGTCACCCTCTTACAATGGACACTTCAATAGCCCAATGATGATGGTAGACACATTTTTACCTATATTTACAGGATAAATACAAGCGCGCGTTAGCGGACGGAGAGAACGTCCGCCGGAGAATGGTGAAGCAGGTGGAGGACGCGAAATCCTTCGCGATACAGAGCTTCTGCAAGGACCTGCTCGATGTGAGTAGTACCAGCATAGCGAATAATTTAGTCCAAAGGTTAACTGGAAGAGAATGCCGCATAGCATTAAGTTCGCCGTTTATATCCTGCTGCTAAGCGAAAATAAGTTATAAATAAGTAACTAAGTAGGTGGTGGAGTGGTTCAACAGCACGAAGCAACAACAAGTATACTCCCATAAGCACTTACTGTCGTCGTACTGATACGCAGGACGTCCACCCACAAGGACACAAGGTGGACCGACGACCTCATAAAAAAAACAGGAAGGCGCTGAATGCAGGCCGCTTCCAACTGGTCAACAAGGAAATCATTGGGGGAGGCCTATGTTCAGTAGTGGAGGTCCTCAGTCCTGTGGCTAAAATTATGATGATGATGAACTGAGTTGGTGGTGGAGTGGTTCAACAAACAGCACGGAGCAACAGCAAGTATAGTTCCATACGGCATACGCACATACCGCAATGGCGAGCAGAAAAATGCTCAGCGTTTAAACGTGTGCACATTGAACAGAGTACAAAAAGCGATCTTAATGCTATGGTATGGTATAGTTTTCAGTTAACCTTAGGGCCAAAATAAGCTATGTATCTAGAATATTTAACATCTTGTACATATTGTTTCTTGTATAGAAAATTTTTAGGTAAATATAAAAAAAAATCTAATGAAAGTTTTTGCCTGTTAGGTGGCAGACACACTATCAGCGGCTGCAGAAAGCGTCCCAGAGAGCGCTTCGGACGGCGACGCGGCTTTGCGTTCATTGCGAGACGGAGTCAAGCTGACACGAGCACAGCTCACACAGGTAAAGTATTAAATTTTCTGCAAGGAGGGCTATCGTTTTTATACTCAACAGTTGGCACCCCTGGCGATTGACAGGACCTTACTCTACAGTGGCGCCATCTTGATGAGTGCAAATGCGATAGTCCTCCTACCACTTTCGCGCTCACCAGTTGGCGCCACTGTCTTCGCTACTAGCAAGTGACGGGACCTTACTCTACAGTGGCGCTAACTGGTGAGCGCTAAAACGATAGCCCTCATTGGGCTTCACAAGTCATTTATTTTCGTCAAATAAGCTTTTAAAAAAAGCGCTTTTAGGTGCTTAGCCAGGCAGCACTCGCGGAAAATTAACATCGTGGCATCGTAACTTTAACCCGCTACTGCTTCGGGACTATAATATCAGGAGATGATACTTATATCGAAAATACTCATAATTATGTCCAAAGGGTCCAAGATTCAAGACTACATTAATGACAAGGATGCGTGGCCAGTTCAATCTGCACATACACTGTTCATCACAAAAATCGACCCTCCCGCGACAATCTCTTTCAAACGTATGCATCCCCACTTCCCACCAATATTGGCACCATTTAAAAGCCTAGTTCTAAACTTCATTTCATTAAAGGAAAGGTTTTACCCCAAAGATGTGTCTGTAGAAGAATCCAGAGTCACTTCTTCAAAAAATGGTAGTTACGCTTGAGCCAACTATTATGGCTATAAAACTGTTAAGTTGGGATTAATCGCTATCCATCTGTTAAAGAGGACACGTGAGATCATTATTTGGTTTTATAACCATAAAAATTGATCTAATTGATCCCAGGGGTGAGCCCAAAGTGAGGTCTTTTTTCAAGTCACATTTATTGTATATCGCGTTTATGTTAATCGTTTATTAAGAAATTAAATGTGTTTTTCTTTAAGGATATTTATTGGGCTTTCAAATAACACCAATATTGTTGGGGCACCATGATTGTGTCAGTAGAAACGAGTTTTCCTGTAAAACGTAGGTAGTCCAGTCAATAAAGCATTATAGATGGAAAACTGTAGAACACAATTTCTGACTTCAGGACTTTATTTAGACTAGTTAGGAGGTGAACATAGCAAAAGTCCCCGCCCTTAGCCCTTGAGCCGGCGGGGAGAGGGGGGTTTAAAGGTGCCACTTTTCGGTNTTTGCTCAATGTTGATTTAGTCGATTTTCTCCTGAAAGGAACATGTAAGACAACAATAAAATTTCCAATTTTACAGACCTTCTAGAGCAGATGCCGCAAAAACTATACAAGATATAGAAAAACTTGACGGTCTCACCTGTAGCAAATTGAATAAGCTTTTTTTGGTTCATAGTAGTCATGTCACTAGGACGCATAGTTTCCGAGGATTAAGCGAAAAACCGAAAAGTGGTACCTTTAAACCCCCCTCTCCCCGCCGGCTCAAGGGCTAAGGGCGGGGACTTTTGCTATGTTCACCACCTAACTAGGCTAAATAAAGTCCCGAGGTCAGAAATTGTGTTCCACGGATTTCTCTCTACACCGTCGTTAAGGCATTCATTGACTGGACTAAGGTGGGCCGATTTTTGTGATGACCAGTATATTTGATGTACTTGAATTTGGCAACTAGTGGCGAACTGGTGACTGAGTTTATTTCGGCGTTTCTTCCAAGCACTTGCCATGTTTTTGAATTATTATTTTTTGTGTTGTGTTGTTTTTTATTTGTAATATTTGTAATCTGCAGGTGTTCGCGAGGCACGGGTTAGTGGCGGTGTCTCCTCTAAGGGAGAAATTCGACCCCAACATACATGAAGCTTTATTCCAGCAGGTATTTATTCATTCATCACTAGTCACTGCATAGTCTAAAACGATGTCTTATGCAAGTCTATCTGTTCGCAATAAACCCAAAAACTGCTCCAAAATCGCACAACTTTTGATTTAAAGCTCGCACACCCACTGCGGGCGCCCGTCGCACAGTCGCGACAGCAATATAATTACGCGCGAGCGATAAGGATGGATAGCTTGGGGTCATTGGACGAAATTCTATCTGCTCGGCGACCGGACTTTAGTCGGTAGCATTTTTTAACCTGGGTCGAATCCAGAGCTGTAAAACACCATATTTACCTAATTTTATTCTGTGTTTTGGAGTGTGATTAGTGGAGCGATTTATTTTTATTTCTGTACTTACACTTTTTACATGTTATAATGTTTTTGGTGAGATTTTTATCATACCTAATTTAGACATTCCGTAATTTGAAATGAATTGTAAACGCCATCTTTACAGGAAGTGGAGGGAGCCGAACCCGGCACCGTGGTGGCCGTCAGCAAGGTCGGCTACAAGCTGAACGAGCGCTGCGTGCGCCCCGCGCTCGTCGGCGTCGCTAAAGGACCCTCGTCATAATGCACGCCCACAAACTTGCGACTTGTCGCTGCGATTAGTCGTTGCGATTAGTCGCAAACTCCGTAGCAAAGAAGGTGCGACTTGTCGCGTACAGCAATTAAGGTGCGACTAGTCGCTGCCATTAGTCGTTGCGATTAATCGCAAGTTCCTCGTCGAGCTTGCCGCAGCAACTGAGGTGCGACTGCGACTTGTTGCTGCGACAAAAACGCGGCGTTTGCGATTAGTTGCAGTGACTAGTCGCACCTCTTTTTCGTAACTCGTAGTGCTTGTCGCCGCAAAGGAGGTGCGACTTGTCACTGCGATTAGTCGCAAGCATCGCGATCTTGTCGCAGGCGCAAATGTTGTGTTATGTCTCTGTCTCTTTCACGCTTATGGCGTGCGTAAGAGACGGTTGTCACTCATAATAAACTGTCTTACGGGACATTTTCAGGGCCCAAAGTTGTCCTATATCACAATAAAATAGGTAAAAATAGTAAACAAAACAAAACTCTTAAAAACGCGTAGGTAACTAATCGCTCCGATTTGTCGCAAACGTCTGCGACAAGTCGCAGCGATTAGTCGGTAGGAAGTAGCGGTCTAAACCCCGGTAATGTACTTCAATAGATAAGAGTGAAAATTATATTTTTCAAATGCTTTAAATTAAAAACTGAATTTCTTATAAATTCATAAATATTGGAAACGATACAAAACAATACAAAAAAGTTGCGTGCAATAAAAATATTATGTTTTATATACAGTCGGCTGCATATAAATGTTCATATTTATAAAAAAGATTGATCCTTATCCCTTTGTAATAAAGATTAATTTTCAAGTCAATTGTGTAAACATTTCTGTGCCCGACTGTATTTGCCGGGAAATTTCCAGTATTTATCCAAAGAATTGTATGAACTTGCGTCTCGCTCGTTTACTTGCAAAAGAGTGAGAGGCAATATTGTATTCATTAATATTTATATGCGCAGATGTTAATAATTATAAGGCACACGTCTTTAAAAATAAAAAATGGCTCAATTATGAATTAAAAACATTTCAAAAAACTATATTTTATCAAGAAAAACTTGTAAAAATTCAAGAAATATTTTTCACTGCATTACGAGACTCGAAAAAGCGTACATTTTTTTGTTGTTAACTTCTTTACTGTATATTTTTGCATTTAAAGAGTAGTAAATATGTATGTGTTGTCGAAATAGATTTTTAAATTGAATTATGCCAGTAAAATAGAGGGGAGATTTATTTCTTACTTAAATTCTATGTTTCTTAGCATTATTTTGACTCGCTATAATTTTCTTCCTTACTATACATTAAGGTGACCACACACAGCTAGCATTCGAATGTAACATAATAACGTACGAATCGACTTGGCCGTTTGACATAAAGTCCGGGTCTCTAGTTCTATCCCTGGGACAAACTTGGCCTTCACTGGTTGGGTTTTAATTGGTGGTCAAGATGTAAATCCTGGCTACACAAGAGTTGCAGCAGTGGGAACGAAAGGTGGAAATAGTCCCGTTAGTTCGTTCCCCATTCACTGCGTGGCATTCTCAACATTATAATAAGCTTACTTGGAAACAGGGATATTTATTTAAATATTACTCATGAATGCTTTAGTGTGTGGCCACCTTAACTTCACTAGATTTCAATTCTCCCTCATATTATATTGTGTTTCGAATAGTTTCGATGTAGGCCATCGCTTCTCAAACTTAAGGCCAATGCAATTTTTAACCGACTTCAAAAAATAAAAATAGTTATGAATTTTGCAAAGTATATTAAGAGACCTACATTCTTTCTTAACGTACTTTGTAAATGGTATACTTATACGAGAAAACTAAGTTTTTGTACGACTAGATTTCAAGTATAACACTGACTGACTGACTGATCTATTTTGCTATATTTATATTGAAGAAGCTATTTTGCAAAATGCAAACTGCGATGTGTAAGCAAGTATACATAATTTTAGTGTCAATAGAGGAAATTCAGCTCTATTTCTTTATGGATATGATCCACCAAAATCGTCTAATGTATAGAATTTGACTGTAAAATCCAACTTTCATTCTCTCAAAATTATTATTATTCGTGCAATATAATGTTGCTTTCTTTACAAAACTTCCTCGGTTTTGATTTCGTAAGATTTCACCCCGTTACGGACAAATCTAGGGGGTCATATCACCAATTAATATTACACTAGCGGCCGTAGAAACTTCCAAACCCCGTTTTACCCCCTTAGGGGTGGAGTTTCGTAAAATCCCTTCTTATTGAGCACCTACGTTCTAAAAGGAACCCCCATCCAAAATTTGAGAGTCTTAGCACTTGTAGTTTCTGAGATTTCGTAATGAGTGAGTCAGTCAGACCTTTTGCTTTTTTTTAAATAGTCTTCAGTTTAAAAGCCCACAGTTTTGGGGGCACTTTAAAAAGGTTGAGAAGCGATGACCATTAAAATGAGCAATTGCGTTGTGTGCGTGATTCCGTATTTAATTTTATAGTTTTAGAACTTCCAATGTGTATGTATGAGTGAACGGTGGTAGTCGTTGGTTATAAATAAATGGATTTTATTGTTGAACATGTTTTTCTTTTAATATATTCATCGTATTTGTAACAAAATTGTGACAGTTGTTGCTGCTTCTTCTTCTCAGCACTGGCTGATTTAAGGTCATATAGATGACCCACGCTGAACTGTCCCACCAAACTCAATGACAGGGGGGCGCTACCATCGTTCAACTACATATATGGTTTCCAACATGGCAAAAATCGGAACCAGCGATCCGGTATTGACGGTGGCGCCCCACTGTCAATGTCATGGATAGGACAGTTCAGTATTTTGGAACTATTAGCAACTCGGAAAGGAATCAACACCGCCTTTCGCGAGCTGCCATCGCATTTCGCGCGCTGTCAACCGAGAGGCGAGGCGTTTACGTGAGTGCATTACGGTGCGGATAAGTGTGCGTTGCAGTATGAAGTTTCATACAAATAATTAACTTTAAAAAAAAATAAAACCGACTTCAAATGCGTGAACACAAAAAAAAACTAAAAATTAAAAAATGCGGAGATATTGCGTATAAAAAAGTTCATCCCCAAATTTCCACCCTTGGGGGTGAAATATTTTCTTCAAATTCACATGAAACCACCCTTTTGATAATACCTATTCAACAAAAAAATAATCGTTCAAATTGATTTATAATCGGCGGAGATATTGCGTATAAAAAAGTTCATCCCCAATTTTCCACCCTTGGGGGTTGTTTTTTCTATTATTTAATTTAAATGGGACCACCCTTGAGATATTACCTATACGCCGAAAAAAGATTTGTTCAAATCGGTTCATAATTGGCGGAGTTATCGCGTAACAAACATAGAAAAAAAAAAACATACGGGTCGAATTGAGAACCTCCTCCTTTTTTTTTGAAGTCGGTTAAAAATGACCGCCTCGAGTTGATATGGTTACGATCCCTTTCCGGGTTGATTTGATAAGTGTGGTACGTCCTTTATTGTTCTGAATAATACTGGGATATGTAAAAAAGCTTTTTAAAAGCAAACTTACAAAATAAATGAATTTGAATTGAATAAAAGACTGCATTATTAGAAAACTTGTCTATTAAATATTGTAATAAATACTGTATTTACAGACAGACCTTAGATTATTTACACATTTAAATATTAAAAGTAAAAGAAATACACAACGGTAAAGTAGGTACGAATATAAGCGATCATGAGCTTCTGGGGCGTGGCATAGCTATTCTATAATTTGACAGTCCTTTTACGCCACGCCCCAATTTGACAGCTGTCAAATTCAGTCAATAATAAGTGGGACTGGTAACTGGTTTAAAAAAGTGTTAAACTAACAAATGGTTAGCAATTGTGAAACGAATCTTTAGTATGAATCTACATTCAAAAGCCTGTGATTGTGGAATAATCGATTCAAATAAGAAATCGATTGTTTTGTCCCACGGCTCCAATAAATCGATTATTATCGATCTTAGTTTCACATTATAAGGGTTATCTAAGTGGGGTTTATTTGTACTATCGATTAATATCGATACATTACCGATCCGGCAACACTCGAGTGTAGATTTATATTTCAGTTTCGTTTTATAAAAGCGTCGAAGTACCCTTTTTAAATTAGCTTAAGTAACAAGTATATAAAGATAAAAATTAGTAAAAACAAAATATACAAATAGTGTATAAGAACTAAGATTTTATATATTATAATCTTTGTATAATAATATTATTATGATATGGAGTATTATTAATTTATTATACATATTTATTACGTCGCCTATTGCTTTGGATTTCGTATAATACTATTATTATTTGCTTGTCAATCTCACTAATTTATTATTACAATTTTGGGCCTAAATTAAAATTTCACATCACTGGCATACAAAATTCATACCAATTCAAGTACATTTTCCGTTACTAAAAAAGAAATATCCATGAGGGAATCGCGTTTGACGACTCAAAAAATATGACAATGAGGGTTTTCGCGTATGAAAGATCCGCTAGATGGCGGGACATGGATGTGGGGTCTGACTGCTGCGTGATTGGTGGATTTTGACATATCTGTCAATGTCATGTCAAAAATAACCAATCATGCAGCATTTGGACCTCGCGTCTACGTATTGCCATCTGGCGGATTTTTCATACGCGAAAACCCTCATTGAATATTGATTTATACTCAGTTCAATCAAAAATAAATTTAGTGGGCGTGACCAAAATGCATGCCGTCACAGCAAATTAAGTGTAAAAAAGCGAGCAAGATACCTATAGTATAAACAGCGTCATATAGTTCGTGACACCCAAAGTAGCCAAAAAGTTCGCAACACGTCTTTGTTACAATTGGAATAAGGTTGTCAACTTTTTGGTCACTTTGGTCACGAACTATTTGACGCTGACTGTGCTTGAAGGCATAGATCGTTTCATCCACTCGGACGCGCCCCGCCATTCTTCCGCTACTGTTTGAGTGTTATCGGTACACGCTAAATGCTCCATGAGTGCACACGCACACTACAGTAATGCCTTACGGCTTGCTCGGACCACACTCCCCGCACCCCGCGCGACCGGGACCAAACGTTGCTGGGGCGCGGCCGAGTGGATGAAACGATCTACAGGGTGGAAACGATAAGTGATCTCACTCGATTATTTCTAAACTATACAAAATACCGGAAAACTGGTTACTGATCCTGAAAGTGCTTCACGAGCTCTTTCAAACGGTATCAGTTATAGCCTCCATACTAAATGTATGCCAGCCACACAATATTATAAGTGTTTTTGTTTATTATAATAAACACTAAAATGAACTCTTAAGTTGCATTCTTATTTAAAAATATTAATGGAAAATATTGGTTTTAGGCTTTATTTGCTATAATATTATCAAGACATGAGTGCCATGACTGTGGCAGTACTAAATGTATGGAAGCTGGAAACATTGAATTTTCGGATAGATCCAGTTTATTTTGTAACTTATTATTGGTACCGTTGCTTGGATAGAGCTCGTAAAGCACTTTCAAGATCAGTAACCAGATTTTGGATATCTTATATAGTTTAGAAATAATCGAGTGAGATCACTTATCGTTTCCACCCTGTATAGTCAAATAAGAACCAAAATACGTCCACGTATACTTCAGAATTCCCTTATATTGTTGGAAACGAGAATAGACGAATAGTCTCCGACCTTAATACCAGTCAATACGGTTCAAAATACGTTAGAATTCCTTCAATATGTTGAAGAATAGTGTGTCGTAGAATCATGAGGAGAGGTCTACTTCGGAGAATTCTTTGAGCGGGTCCGAGCTCGCTTCGTGGGAGTCTGTCTTCGTGCTGTCTTTGTTGCTCACCTGGGGAGAGAAAGAGAGGAAATATTTAGTATAATGTTTTTTTGAGTCATGAAAAAATTTTTCAAAGATAGGCAATTTTATTGGGCCAAAGGTTTTTTGTTTTTAACATGTAACATAATATTGAGGCATTGATCCGACCAGTGCTACAAGGACATCAGTAAGACTATAAAAGTATCAGTTAAATTCGAATATGAAAAAGAAAATGCCCTTCTCCCTCGATAATCGATTTTTAGATAGGTATCGGTACAACCCGGTCGAGCTGAGCACCTGGCACCCGTGACGTCACATTGCAATGAGGCTTTTTCGATTCATTCGATACTCGTAGTGTCGAATGAATCGAAAACTAGCTATCAATCGATTATTGAGATGAGATATGAGTTAATTTTTGAAAATTACTAACCTTATATCGATTTATTACGACTTATTTTGTAGACCCATTTGCATTATCCATTAATAACCGATTCACTATGAATTATACTACAACAGTACTCTCAACAGTCGTTGTGGAAATCCTTGGGGGAGACCAGGGATGCCCCAAGGATTCCAATGATATCCGTAACCGAAACTTTCGGATATCCGAAATAAAAAAATATCCGTAACCGTAACCGATTCAAAAGTTTCGGATGTACGCAGTTTAAATTGTTTTTTGTATAGCTTTATATTTAAAGAAATAACAGCCTGATACCTTTATAATTACATCTAGTATCAATTTTTATTTTTTATTTACTTTTTATTCGATGTAAAGTGTACGGCCATGAATGAACTGTGTTTTTTTGTTGGACAACTAATTATTGCAAATTGCATTCTAAAGCGCAGATATCCGTAACCGTAACCGAAACTTTCGGATATCCGAAATAAAAAAATATCCGTAACCGTAACCAAAACCGGTATAATATTATTCCTATATCCGTAACCGTATCCATAACCGAAACTACATATCCATAATATCCCTGGGAGACCATTGTCCAGCAGTGGATGTCATTTGGCTAAAACGAATGAACGAACTACTCAACTCACCTCAAAATCGTGGTCCACCTTCGACAAGTCCGAGCTGTCGTTACTGTCGATATCGTCGAACTCGCGCTCCGACTCCGGCGTCGCGGCGTACTTGGAAGGAGATAGGTTCTGCACCGCCGCCTTGGGGAGAAAGAAAGAAATATTATTTATTTGGTACGTTAGGCACTTACAGTTCCAAAATACTGAACTGTCCTATGCATGACATTGACAGTGGGGCGCCACCGTCAATACCGGATCGCTGGTTCCCATTTTTGCCATGTTGGAAACCATAAAGTTGAACGATGGTAGCGCCCCCTTGTCATTGAGTTTGGTGGGACAGTTCAGCGTGGGTCATCTATAAGGAGGGCTGAGAACCTGTCGCTCTTTAAGTGCGTATAGTCTAACTTTGTTAATAAAACTAAGCCCCTACTATAACCATATAGCCCGCAGAATTGGTAGCTGTAGGAACAAAAATCGGCCAAGTTCAAGCGCCTGGGTAAGAAACTAGTGTTGCAACAGAACTCTGCTTCCGCTTCCGCAACTGCAGAAGTTCCGCATGTTTTTTCACTTCCGTTTCTGCTTCTGGTTCCGCAAACTTTATAACAGAACTCTGAACGGAAGCGGGGAGAAAGCGATGAGGAGCTGTGCAGCAGACGCGCAGAGGAGGACTCTTCTACAGCTGACGATGGTGACAATTTACTTTTAAAGATACAGTCACACCTTCGGGAGTACAAGAAAGAAAAAAGACTACCTCTCAATGAGGATCCCCTTATGTGGTGGAATGGAAATGCGCACAAATACCCCCATATTTTGCCAATAGTTCGCCAATACTTATCAGCTCCCCCCAGCAGTGTAGCCAGCGAGCAATTATTTAGCGGAGCTGGTTTAATATATGAAGAACATCGAAATAGGCTGAAAGGTGAAAAAGCGGCCAAGTTACTCTTTATTAAATACTAGCTGACCCGGCGAACTTCGTACCGCCTTAGCGTAGAGATTTTCTTAATATTTTTTTCCGTAAGAACCATCCTTGGACTTCCACAAACATTTAAAAAAAAGAATTATCGAAATCGGTTCAGCCGTTCACACGTGATGCCGTGACAACGCGAAACGGGTTTCATTTTTATATATATAGATAACTTGCCGCTGTTTAATTTTGACTGACTTAGCAATAATAATTAACATAACTTTAAGAACAAAAACTTTTGCACGTCGCATGCGACAGAATAATGCTGGAATTAACTAAATTAACACCAATCTGTAACCATGTTCTTGCAAATAAATGATTTTATTTATTATTTTATTATTATTACTACTGTGTTCCTCTGTGGTTGAGGATTCCGGGTGAAGCTCTCTTCCTTCGGCCTGATCATTTCGAATTCTTCTTGATTGACTCGAGAAATTACAAAAGAGCTCCATCATAGTCATGTTGCCCTGGTACTTTTTATTCAAAGTACTATTGAGCGGGGTTATTGGTAAGTCAGGGTATGAGGGGGGGGGGGGGTTCTTTAGGGTAGCCTAGAGCCAGTTCCTCTGTGGTTGAGGATTCCGGGTGAAGCTCCTTCCTTCGGCCTGATCATCACTTTCCATCAGGTTCCCTGTTGTGGATAGAAGAAATATCTACCTACCTTGGACACAGTCTTGAAGAGTTCCCCCGAGTCTGCCTCGGTGGCTAGCTTCAGCGCGTGTTCCCAGCTCAGCAGCGTCTGCGAGTGGATGGTGACCTGCCTCTCGGCCAGCTCTAGCAGCGTGGATTGATGATGATGATGATCACCAACCGGGTCTTTTGTACCCCCTATTCTCTGGAGTCTTACTAGTAGAACTACAGGGAATTTCCTTCACAGTAAAACACAACCTCCTTCTACTCTTCTGTAGACCGAGACAACCTACCTAGTTGTCTATGCCCCCCCCCCATGACACCTACCAAGTACCTACTTGTCAATGCCCCCCCCCCCCTAAAGACAGAAATAACGTCATGCTCCATATTACGGTAAATAAAAAGTACCAGGGCAACATAACTATGAAGGAGCTATCTCGAATTCTTCTTGATTGACTCAAGAGATTACAAAAGAGCTCCATCATAGTTATGTTGGCCTGGTACTTTTTTATTCACTCTAGAACAAGTTTGTAGGTGTTTTATTAGTAAGTTAATTAGTTAGAGGGGGGGGAGCTAACCTAGAGCCAGTTTCTCTATGGTTGAGGATTCCGGGTGAAGCTCCTTCCTTCGGTCTGATCATCACTTTTCATTAGGTGAGATGCTGACAGCTCCATCATAGTTATGTTGCCCTGGTACTTTTTATTCACTGTAGCAGAAAATTGTAGGATTTTTTACTGGTAAGTAGGGGTAAGGGGGGAAGGCCTATAGTCTCCTAACGGGTTTGAAGGGGGGGGATGGTAAGTAGGGGTAAGGGGGGAAGGCCTATAGTCTCCTAACGGGTTTGAAGGGGGGGGAGCTGTAGGAACAACAATCGGCCAAGTTCAAGCGCCTGGGAAAAAATCTACTTATTCAATACCTACCTTGGACACAGTCTTGAAGAGTTCCCCCGAGTCTGGCTCGGTGGCTAGCTTCAGCGCGTGTTCCCAGCTCAGCAGCGTCTGCGAGTGGACGGTGACCTGCCGCTCGGCCAGCTCTAGGAGCGTGGATTGATGATGATGATGATTTCCAACCGAGTCTTTTGTACCCCCTATTCTCTGGAGTCTTACTAGTAGAACTACTGGGAATTCCCTTCCCAGTAAAACACAACCTCCTTCTACTTTTCTGTAGACCTAGACAACCTAATTGTCTTTGACGCCCCCCCCCCCCCCCCCCAAGACCCCTACCAAGTACCTAGCCTATGACCCCCCCCCCCAAAAGACCAAAAAAACGCCTAAAAAAAACCCCAGGGCCAAACACCACAAAAAAAAAATTTTGACCCAACTACCCAAGTAATTACAAAAGTGCTCCATCATAGTCCGGTTGCCCTGTACTTGTGAAAGGCCATTAGTCCCCTAACGGGTCTGCAGGGGGGGGGGGGGGGATGGTAGCTGTAGGAACAAAAATCTACCAAGTTCATGTGCCTAGGAAAAAATGTACTTATTGAATATCTACCTTAGAAACAGTAGAGAGCATAGCTCGCTTCTACCTTCAGCCTGATCATCACTTTCCATCAGGTGAGATGCAGGCCAAAATATCTACCATCTACCTACCTTGGACACAGTCTTGAAGAGTTCTCCAGAATCTGCCTCAGTGGCTAGCTTCAGCGCGTGTTCCCAGCTCAGCAGCGTCTGCGAGTGGATGGTGACCTGCCGCTCGGCCAGCTCTAGGAGTGTGGATTTGATCTCCGACCGGGTTTTAGGTATCCAGTCTGATAGGTCGGAACGGAGGGCTTCGGAGGCTTGCTCTAGCCTGAAAATATTTTAAATCTATATACAACGTGTCCCAAAATTCAAGGATAAGCCGTCGCCACAGGATGGACATAGTCATGACTACTTTAGGAAAAATAAGGAAAAAAATCTATCTCAATTATTTTTTAACTTACACAATAAATTATGAAATTCGACGAAAATTGACACCCCTTATGATATTTAACATTACCACGACCACAATTTTTCAATTATTCCTGGTTTTCTGTTTATATCGGCAACTTCAGTAGTGCTGCTGTTCACCCCAATTCTTAAAACCCCCAGAATCCTTGCAGTTTTTACACAAAAGTTAATCAAAATATGTTATTTCCTTAAAATTATGAACGATTTTTACTTTCACTCCACTTTGACTCATCGTTTTGTAAAAAAAAAGTATGAACACTACTGCGGCAAGTTTTTTACAAAGTTGACGCAACTATCCAAGATTCCAAAATGGTATAATACTCTAAGAAACCTAGTCGCAAAAAAGATATGCGTACCATTTTTACAACAAGGCTCTCATCTGGGCCCTCTTTTATTTAATTTATTTATCAATGACATCGTATCAATTTTTAAAAACACTGACATTCTAATTTACGCTGACGACATGAAAATTTTTAAACAAATTAAATCACCTTACGATTGTGTTTTACTGCAAAATGACCTTGACGCGCTTTGTGCTTATTGTAATTTTAATCATTTGACTCTCAATATAAATAAATGCAATTCTATCTCGTTTTCGCGGAAAGCGAAGCCGATTGACCATCATTACCACCTAAATAACATAGTTCTTCAAAGAGTGACAGAGGTGAGAGATCTGGGAGTTCATTTAGATTCCAAATTGACATTTAAAACACACATAGACATCATGACTGCTAAGGCTTACCGAATGCTGGGATTCGTTTTAAGAACGGGAAGAGATTTTAAACTATGTTCTACAGTTTCATTACTTTACAACTCGTACGTAAGGTCCATTCTGGAGTATGCATCATCTGTCTGGAACCCACAATACAAAATATACATTGACTCAATAGAAAAAATTAACAAAAAGTTTGAAAAACACTTACGTTACAAAGCTGATAAGTTTGGCGGAACACTTCCTAATGTACCATCTCTTTTAGACCGTCGCATTGAGAAAGACCAAGTCTTTCTCTACAAAGTTTTAAATAACCATGTTGACTCCTCTTTTTTGTTAAGTAATATTAGTTTTAGGTGCCCTCGGACGAGTTCGCGTTCTACAAAACTTTTTTCTATTTCTCTCACTAGGACTAATTATGCTAGCAACAATTTTGTACCTAGATCTTGTAAGGAATATAATAATAGGTTTAACACGATTGACATTTTTAATTCTTCCTTACCATCTTATAAAAAACAATTGAGAGAATGTTTGAATATACCTATAACTTGATTTTAATTTTGACCTACATAATTATTGTGTTTTTAATTTATATAATTTTATTAATATTTAACTTTTTGACATTTTATAATTTTTATTAAATTTAACTGCTTGACATTTTATAAGATTGACATTGTATTTATTTGACATTTAGAAATTAATGTATAATTTATTACTATTTAATTAATTTTTAGTCTGCACTCTGTATTAATTTTAACTGTGGAAACTTTGCTGATTTCTGTCCTATTTTTTGTGTGATTATTTGTCTGTATATCAAAATTGTTTGTTTCCCTAATATAAATAAATAAATAAATAAATAAATAAATTTATGCAAAAAATACTGAACGCATTTTGATAAAACTTAACATTATTAAATATTTAATATACATTAGAATAACATGTAAGCTATAATTTATAACGTGACTAACTGAAATACAGTTTATTTAACAAATATTTATAGTTGGTATAATGTTATTCCTGATATTTACCTGTTATGTATTTCGCCTGTAGCATTATTGCCGGAAACGTATGTTGCTGCAAAAAAAAACAATTTCAAGGTGTTTTTTTTAAAGTATATGATGCATACAGCCTATTGATTCAATTTCTATATCACGAATTTATTAATTTACTTTCAGTCTTCGTAGATTCGTAGACTAATCTTAGAAAAAATGGTAACGGAATTAATCACATAAGATCCAAACATTTTATGTATCACATAATTATGATCCACACATTTTAAGGTACATATTACATTATCTACACATTTGTATTTATATTTCAGTTACGTATTTTATGATCCACATTTTTTTCTATCACATCTGATCGTTTTTTCTTTGTATCACATATGATCCACACATTTTCTATGTATACCATTATCCACCAATTTGCATGACTCACGTCATAAGACCCACATTTAATCTGATTGATACGTTGCTTCTTCTCAGCTCTGGCCCATTTATTGTCCCGAAGCAGTGGTAAGGTTAATACTGGGACGTGTAAGTGCTTTTTTAAAGCCTATTTGCAAAAATTTATGAGTTTTATTTTTATAATCTTTGTATCATATATGCTTCACAACCCACAACAGCCCCACAACGGCTTATTCCACTATTCCCCGTTGACAATCCCCGTCAACGGGGATTAGTGAACTTTTTGTTCATCAATCCCCGTCAACGCCAATTGGAGCTTATAATAGGGAATAATCAACTAAAAAGTTCATTAATCCCTGTTATACACTCATTGTCAAATAAATCGCACCTCCCGCGACAAGCATTTTCAAACGTATGCATCCCCACTTCCCACCAATATTGGCACCATTTGAAAGCCTAGTTCCAAACTTCATTTCATTAAAGGAAAGGGGTTTACCCCAAAAATGTGTCTTTAGAAGGATCCAGAGTCACTTCTTCAAAAAATAGGTAGTTACACTTGAGCCAACTTTTATGGCTATAAAACTGTTAAGTTGGGATTAATCGCTATCCATCTGTTAAAGAGGACACGTGTGATCATTATTTGGTTTTATAACCATACAATTTGGTCTAGTTGATCCCAGAGGTGAGCCCAAAGTGAGGTCTTATTTCAAGTCACTTTTATGGTACATGTTAATCATTTATTAAGAAACTAGCTGACCCGGCGAACTTCGTACCGCCTTAGCGTAGAGATTTTCTTTATATTTTTTCCGTAAAAACCTTGTACAGAGTATTAGAAAATTACAAAAAAAAAATCAGCCAAATCGGTCAAGCCGTTTTCATGTTATGTCGTGACAACGGAAAACGGGTTTCATTTTTATATATATAGATTAAATGTGTTTTTCTTTAAGGATATTTATTGGGCTTTCAAATAACACCAATATTGTTGGGGCACCATGATTGTGTCGGAAGAAAATCTTTAAAGTTCGCGTCGCGGAAGGTGCGGTTTATTTGATGTTGAGTATATTAGGATTTTAACTCACCGTGCAACGCGTCCCTCTGCTTGATCTTCTCCACGTGCTGCGCGCAATACGCGGCCAGCTGCGGCAGCGTGGCGCGCGCCCGCAGCGCCGGCGGCACCTCGCGCGCCCGCGCCGCGCCGCACGCGCCCGCGCCCGCGCCTACTGTAGCCCCGCCCGCGCCCGGTTGGCACGCCCACGCGTCACATACGCGTTTCATACTAGATGTAAAAGAAGATTTTTCTTGAGTCCAAAAAAATGAGTGAGCACAAGGCCCACACACGTCGCAGACCCGCTTCATGCTGGGTGAGAGAGAAGATAGTACTTCTGTTAGCTTCCTCAAGTAAGCTAAAGAGCGCTTTCACATTAGGGCGTTAGTAGCGCGACAGCGGCGTTTTTATAATGTAAGAACATGCATCCGCTGTCACATAGTATGAAATTTTCGGCAGCGCGCCTGACGCGCGTTTTACGCGCTGCTAAATCGCCTAAATGTGAAAGCGCTACAGTTGATTCACTTGGAGCGATCCAAGTAAGCGAAATATAGCTTGTTTTTTCAGGGATTGAGATCGAATCACGAATGATTAGTGACCCTAGAATGACGAACTAGCGACTCTTGAATGGCGAACTAGAGACAAAGAATTAGCGACGCTCGAATGACGGACGAAGTAGCTACTCTCGGATGCCGAACTAGCTACAGTCTCGCTTTATTACAAAACACTCAAGTAAGGCAGCGTGGCGCGCGCCCGCAGCGCCCGCGCCCGCGCCTACTATAGCCCCGCCCGCGCTCGGGAGGCACGCCCACGCGTCACACACGCGCTTCATACTGCGTTAGAGAGAAGATAGTACTCCTGTTAGCTCCCTCACATTAAGGCGTTAATAGCGCGACAGCAGCGCGCCGCACGCGCCCGCGCCCGCGCCTACTATAGCCCCGCCCACGCCCGGTTGGCACGCCCACGCGTCACACACGCGCTTCATACTAGATTAGAGAGAAGACACTGTTAGCACGCGCCCGCGCCCGCGCCTACTATAGCCCCGCCCGCGCCCGGTTGGCACGCCCACGCGTCACACACGCGCTTCATACTGCGTTAGAGAAAGTGATACTTCTGTTAGCTCCCTCAAGTAAGTTAAACAGATGACGCTGGACTGAGCCACCAGCGTCGCAGACACGCGCTTCATGCTGGGTTAGAGAGAAGATAGTACTTGGTGACTTCTCTAAGTAAGCTAAATGGACGCGTCATTCATGAGTCACATTAAGGACGCCCACGCGTCGCAGACTCGCTTCATGCTGCGTGAGAGAGAAGACAGTACTTGGTGACGTATCCTAGTAAGCTAGCTAGACGCTTGTTATTCTTGAGTCCGCGCCGCACGCGCCCGCGCCCGCGGCTACTATAGCCCCGCCCGCGCCCGGTTGGCACGCCCACGCGTCACAGACACGCTTCATACTGCGTCAGAGAGAAGACAGTACCTCGTGATTTCTCTACGTAAGCTAGATAGACGCTTGTTATTCTTAAGTAAAAAGAGTGAGATCAAAATTAGGGACGCACACGCGTCGCAGGCTCGCTTCATGCTGCGTGAGAGAGAACTTCTGTTAGCTCCCTCACATTAAGGCGTTAATAGCGCGACAGCAGCGCGCCGCACGCGCCCGCGCCTACTATAGCCCCGCCCGCGCCCGGGAGACACGCCCACGCGTCACACACGCGCTTCATACTAGATGTAAAAGAAGATTTTTCTTGAGTCCAAAAAAATGAGTGAGCACAAGGCCCACACACGTCGCAGACTGCGTCGCAGACCCGCTTCATGCTGGGTGAGAGAGAAGATAGTACTTCTGTTAGCTTCCTCAAGTAAGCTAAAGAGCGCTTTCACATTAGGGCGTTAGTAGCGCAACAGCAGCGTTTTTATAATGTGAAGGCATGCATCCGCTGTCACATAGTATGTAATTTTCGCTAGCGCGTCTGACGCGCGTTTGACGCGCTGCAAAATCGCCTAAATGTGAAAGCGCTACAGTTGATTCACTTGGAGCGATCCAAGTAAGCGAAATATAGCTTGTTTTTTCAGGGATTGAGATCGACTCCTGAAAGATAAGTGACCCTAGAATGACGAACTAGCGATTCTTGAATGGCGAACTAGAGACAAAGAATTAGCGACGCTCGAATGACGGACGAAGTAGCTACTCTCGGATGCCGAACTAGCTACAGTCTCGCTTTATTACAAAACACTCAAGTAAGGCGCTATATGACGCTGGACTGAGCCACCAGCGTCGCAGACACGCGCTTCATGCTGGGTTAGAGAGAAGATAGTACTTGGTGACTTCTCTAAGTAAGCTAAATGGACGCGTCATTCATGAGTCACATTAAGGACGCCCACGCGTCGCAGACTCGCTTCATGCTGCGTGAGAGAGAAGACAGTACTCCTGTTAGCTCCCTCAAGTAATTTTAAGAGCGCTTCCATATTAGGGCGCGACAGCAGCATGTAAAAACATGCATCCGCTGTCACATAGTATGAAATTTTCGGCAGCGCGTCTGACGCGCGATTGACGCGCTGATTCACTTAGAGCGGTCCAAGTAAGCTAAATATAGCTTGTTTTTTCAGGGACTGAGATCGAATCACGAATTATTTGTGGCCCTAGAATGACGAAATAGCGACCCTTGTATGACGAAGTGGCTACTTTCGACTAACGGACGAAGTAGCTAATCTCTAATGACTTCCGAAGTAGCAACACTCGAATGACGAAGTAGCTACTCTCGGATGCCGAACTAGCTACTCTGAATTACAGTCCCGCTATATAACAAAACACACAAGTAACCTCGCCCACGCGTCACACACGCGCTTCATACTAGATTAGAGAGAAGACACTGTTAGCACGCGCCCGCGCCCGCGGCTACTATAGCCCCGCCCGCGCTCGGTTGGCACGCCCACGCGTCACAAACCCGCTTCATACTAGGTCAGAGAGAAGATAGTACTCCTGTTAGCTCCCTCACATTAACCCATTTAGACCGATAATTATTTTTGTAAATAAAATTTAATTTTTCTGCAAAATCTTTGAAAGGGAAGCATAAAAATCATAAAAAAAATATTTAAAAAAATAATCCATAAATAGGGGGCCGTGGGGAGCCCGTACCATATAGGGTACAGTAGGTCTATAAGCATGCAAAACATACTCGTTGTTCAAACAAAGATTTTATTTATTTTTGTATGATATAAATTAAAAATAAAATTATTTAATCACCAGTATCATACTTGGCATATCTTGTAAGACGTTTTCTGAAATACTAAGCACGTTTGGTTATTTTTTCCTACCATCTCCGAAGTTAGTGAGGATAGCTGAAGAAGATCTGGGTTCTTCTGACTTGTTACGTTTAGTGCTATTTATAATCGCATTTAGCAACACGACGATGGAAATTCAGCAAATCCATCGAAGAAAACTCTGAGGGTAATAATTTACATTGACACTATATTTATCGCCAGAATCTTCGTCATTCTGATCATCATTAGCGGTCATCTGACAAGACAGCAGTAGAAAAATACCAAGATTGCTTTTTGTTTGCTGAAATTGTCAAATTTTTCATGAGTTGTGGTAATATAGTGAAGCATCAATAGCCTAAAACAAATAAAAATAATAAAAAATAAATTATATTTTCTCGCATGATTTGCTCATGCATAGACCTACTGTACCTTATACGGTACACCTATTTTAGACTGGAATAAACCGTATAAAAATAATCTCAATAATATTTTATTAGTAGTCATGATATCTATTGTACTCTATTTTTGAAATAAAATTGATGAATAACATAATTTACCATAAATAATAAGAAATATACCTTCTTGAATACATTGTGAATATTTTTTTTATTTTCTGTCGAGGGATTTCATAAATATTTCCGAAACCACTTGTTAAAACATATTTTTAGATATTTTTATGTAAAATAATCACTTTAAGCTTACTGTCACCATCATTTTTAAAAATTAAAGACAGTTTGATACTTCAAAATATTGTCAAAAAGATACTGTACCACATAGGGTACGGTAGGTCTAAATGGGTTAAGGCGTTAGTAGCGCGACAGCAGCGCGCCGCACGCGTCCGCGCCCGGTTGGCACGCCCACGCGTCACACACGCGCTTCATGCTGCGTGAGAGAGATGATAATACTTCTGTTAGCTCCCTCAAGTAAGCTAGACAGTTGACGCCGGACTGAGCCACCAGCGTCGCAGACACGCGCTTCATGCTGGGTTAGAGAGAAGATAGTACTTGGTGACTTCTCTAAGTAAGCTAAATGGACGTGTCATTCATGAGTCACATTAAGGACGCCCACGCGTCACAGACACGCTTCATACTGCGTGAGAGAATAGTACGCCTGTTAGCTCCCTCAAGTAAGCTAGATAGACGCTTGTTATTCTTAAGTCCGCGCCGCACGCGCCCGCGCCCGCGGCTACTATAGCCCCGCCCGCGCCCGGGAGACACGCCCACGCGTCACACACGCGCTTCATACTAGATTTAAAAGAAGATTTTTCTAGAGTCCAAAAAAATGAGTGAGCACAAGGCCCACACACGTCGCAGACTGCGTCGCAGACCCGCTTCATGCTGGGTGAGAGAGAAGATAGTACTTCTGTTAGCTTCCTCAAGTAAGCTAAAGAGTGCTTTCACATTAGGGCGTTAGTAACGCGACAGCAGCGCGGCAGCGGCGTTTTTATAACATGAAGGCATGCATCCGCTGTCACATAGTATGTAATTTTTGGCAGCGCGTCTGACGCGCTGCTAAATCGCCTAAATGTGAAAGCGCTACAGTTGATCCGCTTGGAACGATCCAAGTAAGCTAAATATAGCTTGTTTTTTCAGGGATTGAGATCGACTCCCGAATGACTTTTGACCCTAGAATGACGAAATAGTGGTCAAGCCCTTGAATAAGAAACTAGAGACAGAGAATTAGCGACTCTCGAATGACGAACAATGCAGCTAGTCTCGAATGACGAACTAGCTACCCTGAAATACAGTCCCGCTTTATGACAAAACACTCAAATAACCGTTCCAGCAGCAAACTATCTCGTAGCCCCCTTGTGTCTCCTCTCTCCCACACAGCCCAGGTGGACAGGCCACCCTCCGCTCGCAGGCGGCCAGCTGCGGCAGCGTGGCGCGCGCCCGCGCCCGC